TCACAAATATTTTCTTCTATTCTGGGTCTTGCCTTTTCCTAAGAGGTAATTGTTGTATTATGATAAATTCTAAGCTATATTTTTATTTCATTTTTTTATTTTATGGTTCACGCACATGATATCTTATGAAAAATAATTATCCTTGTGTTTCTTGATGTTCTGCAGTGGTATAGATGTCACAGTTATGATTAATTTTGGAGGATGATATAATGCAATTTTAAAAAACGTGTGTTCAGTTGTCACATAATTTGCTGACAGGCTTTCCTCTGACCATTTAATTTCCTTGTCATTTTTATTGAAAAACAATTGTACACATATGTGAAAGTGTGAAACTAGACTATTATGTTCCATTGATGAGTTACGTCTCTCTGTTTGCCAATACTAAACTATCTTCATTACTGTACCTTTCTTTAAGGTCTTAAATAATGTTTATGTGCCTTCAGACTATTTCACGTGAAGTCTTGTACACCAGAATACTGTTACTTTTGTAATAACATAATGTCAAACAATATGCTCGGTCTTCTGGAATTCTTCATTTCAACACCACCTTCTATGTTGGGCTAGATGAGATGAACACTCTACATATTTTCATGAATCAAGTAGAATAAGAGAAATATAAAATGGGAACCTGCCATGTTAATAGTTTTCAGCCACCACTTGATTCAATCATGCTAGAAAGCTTTCTGCATCTTTAATATGTGTAACACTCACACTATGTCAAAATCAAACATAAATGTTAGACCTTAAATTTCTTGGAGGTCTTTAGCTTTAGCACCTTCCTTCTTCCTCAAAAATAGGGCATTCTTATTAGAGCCACTTCTTACTGCTTCTAGGTAAACCTCTTTTTCAAATCTCTCTATTCCCAGACAGGCCAAATATATTCAGGAAGCTGTAACAATGACTTGATGTATTTGGAGCTGGGTCAGGTACAGGATGCCAGATGGCCTGAAGGCACCAGTTGCTCCGGAATAAGGAATAAGACCATCCAAGAAGTCAGCTATTAATTCTGCAAATTTATGCAGAAGAATGATCTATTACTGCTGGGGGTCAAGATGTTTCACAAGCATCTCTACATCTGTGCCTTTAAACATTGTGCAGATGCAAATTGTTATCCTAAGAGTAAATTCATATTGTTAATTGGGTCAGGATTATGCAATGTTGGAATCTCTAGTGCTTACATTTAAATATGTTTATAAGTAGGGAAGGGAAATATCTCATTCAAATGCTATGGGCTGAAAGCTGTCATACTGAGAATCATATTTTTTTTTTTCTTAGTGTGTACTGAAGACCACAGTGAGGCTGCACTCCATGGACCTTGCTAATTAGGTATTGCTGATTGGAAGTCAGATGGCCATGAGGATGCCTGATTAAATTACATACAAACTATGAAAACAACTTATCTGCTTTTAAAGGTTGGATTTCATGTGGTTATTGTGTTAAATCAAGTATTTATGTGGGCAAAAATGTAGAATCAATACTTCATCATTCAATTGGTTTGCTGAATCATTCAAAAATATTGAGTGAAGATATTTTTAAGTGTTAGAGATGCAGAGATAACAGAGAGCAATAATGCTTCTGATATTATGGAGATGACTTTCTAGGACATTTTCCTTTGTACAGAACTTAGATATTAGGTGGTCAGGCACAATGACTTCATAGGAAACCCCTCAACAGTTTATATTAATGTGGCTTGACAAATAGTACTCTTTAGTCTTCAACCTAACTCTTTCACCTTATATTTTTAAATTATGCCAAATAATAATTATTACATATTCAACTATTTCCAGATAACTTCAAATAATAATATGCCAAACCTTTGGGAACAACTAAGGAGTTCTATCCCCAGAGTTCATCTTACTTTATTATGCTTCATGTTTGGTGGCAGGTGATAACACTGTTTTTGAAAACAGTATCTTCTCAATCTCTAAACCTTAGTTTATCTTGATTATATTTCTACTTCAATAGATTACTTCAAAATTTCTTTGCTGCTTTCTCCTCATCTTCTCAAACTCTAACTATTGAAAGGATCTAGATTTTAATTCTTTAATTATTTCTCTATTCTGTCTAACTTATTTCCTAGTGTTACCATGTGCTCAATATCACTTAGTTGATAACATCCAAATAGTTATCTCTCCCGGGCCCATGTACTTGTTTGGATCTCTAATGGACACTTTAAACTTAAAACATGACCAAATTTAGATTCTAGGCTACTCTGCTGTTTCCTTTTGCTATATTCCTCCCAAGATAAATGCATGGCTTGCTGTTTCACTTTCTTTAGGTCTCTAAGCAAATGCCACCTTCTCGACAGGCCTTCCCTGGTCATTCCACATAAATAGCACCATCTTCAGGAGCCTGGCCCTTAGGGACTCTTCCCATCTGAGTTTATATTTCTCATTAACAGTCATCATCAGTTGACACCACATATGCACACACATACACACACACACACACATTACTGACCAAAATGTAGCAAATTCCATAAGAGTGACAAATTCCATAATGACAAATTATATTATTAGTATAGTATAGTGCCTGGAAAGTTCTGACTTTAAATAATTTCTTTCATGACTCTATCTGTCTGTGTATCTGGTTCCTTTGGCCCAGATTTGGAGGTAGGAATATAAAATTGGAGAGAAAACTTTATTTTCACAATGTCCAGTTTAAAGCAGGAAAATAGAAAAACATTTTTCAAAAACTCAAAGTATTTTAAGGAATGAAAAGCAATAAGTTTAGGTGGGTTTGTGAATATTATATATAAAATATCTAAATCAAAAAGTCTAGAAAAATTAAGAAATTGATGGAAATACTTTTAAATCCTGAGGATACATATGAATAAGAGACAATAAGAATTCAGTTTGAACATAAATTTGATCTAAGATTTTTCCCAAACAGCAGACAGTAGATTAGCAAAAAACTGAGTTCTATTAAAAGGCAGTAAAATGCATCTAACACTCCTTCCTAATATGTCAAGACCTTGAAAGTGTTGGTTGACTTATCCAGCCCTCAAATTGTTGAGCTGTAAAGTGGGACTAGATAATAACTAAGACATATTCTCATCATAAGAATGAAATTAGAACACAAATATAAATAACAAATGGCAGATATATGCAGTCCAAATATTAAAGAATGCTCCGAGTAAAATTTAACTAAATATAACACATCATTAAGATGATTTGTTAAAAAATATTTAAAAATAGTTGCTAGAGTCTGTTTTGTTCTGCTCTAGCAGGACACATGAGACTTGAGTAATTTATAACAAACAGAAATATACTCAGTCAATCAGTACTAAGATGCTGGCATTTATCAAGGGTATTTCTCCTACATTGTTACAGAATAAAAACCAAGGGGCCAAAAGAGAAGAGGAGGAGACCAAACCCGCCCTTGAGAACAGCAATTCTTTAAACAAATGCCGTTTTCTCTAGGAGGCCTTCTCATAGACAGAAATTTTGCATAAATTGAAATTTTCTCTGAAGTAATACACCTAAAATGGTAAGTACAGTTTACTTTTTGTTATCAAAACAATGTCAATTTCAGCATATAAAAATTCTGCTTACAAATTCAATCCTGCGGATAAAAAAAAAAAATCCATCAATATTTAAGAAAAAAGATTGCTGCTGGCATTACGGCACACACTTGTAATTACACCTACACAGCAGACTGTGGTAGAAGGTTACAAATTCAAGGCCAGCCTGGGTAACACAGATCATGGGTAACACAAAGTACAGTTTTAAAAAAGGCCTGAGCATGTTACTCAAGTGCTTACCTATAGTTTGCAAGGATGCAGATTTATCTTCAGTACAGCTAAAGAAGAAAAGAAGGAAGATAAAGTTGAGGAGAAGAGAGAACAGGGGGAGGAGAAGCAGAAGGAAAAAAAGAAGGGAAGAGGAAGAAAAGGAAGGCGAAGGGGAGGAGAATGGGGATGATGGGGATAAAAACAAGTATGGTGAAGGGTGATGATGGGGATGAGGAGACAGAGGAGGAGGAGGAAAAGGAAGAGGAAGGGAGATACTGCGACCGAGCTTCTAATACAGATATGGAGGTAAACCAACTGAGCACTGAGATCAGAAAGGTGTTGGGGACAGACCTAAAGCTACCTACGATCTGAATTATCACCAAGGTTGGAGAGTAATGCGGATTTATGTATGCTCTATGTGCCAACCATTGAGAATGAGGTCTCAGTCACATAGGTATGCTAATTATTTTGGAGCTCTCCTTACCAGACGAGTACTGCAGACTACAGACCTTTGCACATACGACATTTTGTACAGTTCCAACTCCTTCACACATCCATTTACTATAATTCTAAATGAAATATTCACTAAAGCTTACCCTGTGCCAAACACAGGGTTGGATTCTAGAGAAAACACACTCTGACCATGCATTGACCCATTGTGAAGGGTCTTTCACAACTGTATGTGAGATCGGTAAATAAAATAATAAATAATAAATAAATGAATACTCTTGATAAGAACTACATAGTTATGAGCAAAAAATAAATAAATAAATAAATAAATGCCACAATGACCTATGCTCTGTTCTTTTTAAGGAATTTTAATTGCTTATTTTTATCCAAAACATCAATGTTTTCAACAAAGCCAATCCCTTTGAAACAGTCACAGACTTGTGAAAAGTGGGTCATAGCTACTGGGGAGACCCATTTCTCAGCATGACTGCCAGTTCATCATTGAAGTACACAATGTGTGCATGTATGTGTTTGGGAAGAGGTGGAAGGGACATAGAGTAAGGAGGGGAAAGAAAAAGAAAGTAAATGCACATAACATTCTCACATCAACCAAGAGGTTCATTTTTCTTATGTTTATGCCTGACTTTCATCACTTCCCAAGAATAAAGGTAAATGGACAAAACTCTTCTTAGTTCTACTTTAAGGATTGGGGTACTTTTGATTCACAAATTCTAAAAGTCTCTTTCCTTCCTGCAATTAATATTTGCAAACAATAAAGATGAACAGTTAAAATATCTCTTCAGGACAACATTCTTACCTGCATCTCTTGACAGAAGGATGCCAAAGGCCCAAAGAGAATCTGACATTGCTCATCTGCTGTGTATATCATCCCTGGCAGCTTGGAGGGAACCATCACAGAATTGAAACTCTGCGGGTTTGTCTGTAGCAAGCAGTTACTTGCCTTTGACCTGTAACAAGTGTGTATGATAAAGTTTTGAATTTAATGTAAAAATTGTCATTAGCGCAGAAGCAAGAAACATTTTTTATAAGAGTTTTACTTTGCCTGGGGATTTAGCTCAGTGGCATAAGTGCCTGCCTGGCAAGTGTGAGGTCGTGAGTTCAATCCTCAACACAAAGAAAAACAAAAATCAATTTTACAGTTCCTCTTTTTCTGCAAAGATTTAACACTTTTACTGTTTTTAGAAACTCATTGAAACTGTTCTTATATAAATTATCGCACATATAAAAATCATTTACTTTTAAGTATTTAAAATATTCCTAATAAATAATAATAATATTCAAATTAAGTCTTTAAATTTATAAATCCTATTCAGATGGATTAACTCAGCTAATCTAAAAACCAAATGGTGAGTATTATTTTGTGCATGTATAAAATGTAGAAGCTTAGATTTACAGAAAAAACTTTCCAAAAAGCCATGCATGCAGATAACTGTAATATGTGCAGTTATATTTGGGGATTTAAAGAAATTATTCCCAACTGAGTATTAATAGTGTGAATATTTTTGTAGTTGACATAATACAACTTCCATTTATGAAATGATATTTAATTTTATTATAGCCCTGATCCAAGTGAAAACAGCCATACAAAATCTTGCATGTTCTAGAAACATTTTCATTAATCTCTACTGATGTAGCTACTGAAAATGTGTTCAAATCATTACATAGGCAAAATGCAATACTCCAGAGACTGTCATGACAAAGAGAACGCACATATATTGCACATATTTCATGACACAGTTATGGTAACGTCATAGACATTATATTTTAGTAGACTTTAATATCCATTTAATAGGAAAAATAGGCTTGCCAATTTAAAAAGCATGGAAAAATGAAGTTCATCTTTGTACTGAATTTAGCAAGCTAGATGTTCCTACACTTCTTATTTATACTTTTAGAGGCCTCAAACATCTCTCTAATCACTTTGCACAGAATATACTCTTTCAGTTGTCCTTTTGATAACCACAGAGATAAATAAAAATAAGGGTTTTAAAAGGAAAAATTAGAGGCTGAGGATTTAGCTCAGCAGCATAAGTACCTGCCTTGCAAGCAGGCAGTCGTGAATTCGATCCCCGGCACCAGAAAAAAGAAAAAGAAAGAGAGAGAGGAAAAAAAAAAAAAAAAAAAAAAAGGAAAAATTAGAACCTTAGCAATATTTCTCACTTCTTTTTCCAACCAGACAGAAACTAAGTATTACTGTTGTTGAACATGTAAAAGAAGAGAATCGAGATCAACAGTTATAATAAAAAAAATGTTTAGTGTTTAGAAGTACCATAATGAAAGCTGGCAATTTTGGTAAGCAGATGTTTTATGATAATAAGAAATGTGCAGGCGGTGAGTAAGGAGATTATTTCTGTTGGGAAACACGGACAACACACTTAAATTCCATGGCAGATACGTTTTGCCGTTAGAACAATTTTCAGCCTTGCAAATCATTTGCCCATCCTTTTGTTTAAAAAATATGGAAACTAAAAGCAGATACATTAAATAACAAGTTCCAATTCATATCACGAGTCCACAGAAGAGCCAAGGTTGCAGTCACATTCCATGTTTTCCATTGCAGAGGCTTCTCCACTTTATCAGACTGCATTCCCTAGTTGGCAGAGAAGGCACAAATACAAAAACGTTCACAACACTGTAGCAATAAAGAATCTCCGTAAGTACCTGAGAAATCTTTCCAAATCTTCTTTGCTACATGCAGACCATGAAACATCACCAAGGTGCTGTCCTTTAATCCATTCACCAGACATGATATGAAGACCATCAGCACATGAGGGGTGGTCATTGTCATGATTAATACCCATGCTGATTCAGTGTGAAATTAAAAGAAAAAGAACTATATTAGTAAATGCTATTTTAAAACATTTCGTTATTGTAATTAAAATAAGTCAAAATACTTAAATGGAAACAGATTTGTTTTAAAGAGATGTTTCAAAATTAGATTTTTGATTACATTTCAAACTTAGTTACCCACCTGTAAGTTAATGTTTTTATTAACATATAATATTATTCATTAATTATTTCCATTGTTAAAGAGGAGTATAGATAGTATATAGCATTGGTAATTACTATGGCAGTCTAACTATGTGCTTTTCATCTTTATCAGTATTCTCTTTCTCCACCTTCTGCTTTACCACAGTGTGAGCTACGACAATAAGATCTAACTATTCCATTCCTCTACTTTCTTGTTCCTTCATGACAATTTCCAGCTTTATACTTTGTTACACAGCCTCTCCAACCTTCCTTCTGGGTCACTGATTGCATCTTTTCATCAGGAATACCAAATAACTTGTCGTTTTCCAGTTATTTTGTTTTCATTTTCCTATAATTGTCATTTTGTACCTCTTATGTATCCGATACCACACAGTGGTTTTAAAACTTTGTGCTCACTCTATGTGACACGAACATGAAAAATGTACATTATGCTGATGAAAAGTAACTTACATAAAACTGGACAAACTAGAAAATGAAAATATCTGAACTGAGGTGGCTGCCTCTAGAACTCATGGAATCAACCTTTACACATTACATCTCTATTTTTTTCTATTTCCTACCAATCATCTTGGCAAAACTGTGTTTTTTGCCTGAACAAATTCTACCTGATCATCGATTCAATGCTGCTTACTTCTAATAAGCTTTTTTTTCACTAGCCCCTATATTAGAGAATTGTTTTCCACGTTACAATTCTGTAAACATTTCTAAAGTGTTTTCTGCATTGTATCATACATTTTTACTTTTGGTTAATTCTCCACATTCTCGAAGACAAGGACTTTTCAAAACCCTAAGACCTTACATAGAACAATCATACTCTATATAAACTAAATTCAAAAGATGAATCGTACTATCATATAGAAACATTTCTATTTCAGAAAAATTCATATAATCTCTCTTCTCACCAAGAGGTCATCAAAACAATTATTCACGAGTGAGGAGTTAATACTAAAAAAAGCAGAAAAAGGCAAGTTTGTTTTTTTTACATATGTAAAGTCTGAGATGAGGGCAGAATAGTTCAATATTCCATTTGTCTTGTTATGATCTAGAAGCTAAGAAGTAAAATTGTGTTTACTAAGTAATACTTTACAAAAATATTTACATACATTAAAATAATTGTTATCAAGGTTACTAAGAGAAATCACAACTAGAATAGTATTTAGGCTTATGTTTTTCAATTCCACATAAAATATTGATTATTCACTTATTATTCACATTAAAAATTGATTATTCAATTTCATTTTCATTAAGATAAATCAAATTGCTATGATAATGTTTGTTTCTGAAGGAAGGAATCATGAGTCATAAGTAAGTGACATGCATATGAATGATCACTAAGCAATTTGACTATGTTGCTAACTTTTGACTGAAAATTCTACTCTGAATAAAGCAAAAAATATTTTACTGAAAACAACTATTCACTTTTAATGTTAAAAAATTCATATTCTGATTTCCAATTGTAGCTGGTATCTTCAAACGGGGTCTGTGTAAACACATATTGTGAAAATAACTGAGAGAATATAGGGAAGCTTTGAAGTTAAGCAGGGAACATAGGAAAATGCATGGAATATATAATCAGCTCAATGATGAAATGTTAAGAAAATAGAATGGTTGTTGGAGTTAAAGAGAGTTTTAATTTCATCCCTTTTGTTCAGAGGGACAGAAAACAGATAATAATAAACATCTAAACAAGCCTTAGTCTGCTCATTTATAAAATACACTTTCCTGACTCGCATCTTCTGAAGACTTCATAAGGATGATGTAAAGTGCCTGAAATATCGGAGGAATTCATTAATGCTTTTTCACAGTGGGGCAGCAAGTCCGAGAAATTTTATTGTACCCTTCTAACTTCTCAAAATACAAAGAAAGATAAATTTACCATGAAGGTTAATTTGCTGAATTTGCTTTACGTAGTGACTGATAGTGACATTACATTGCTTAGGCATTAAATGAAAATTAAAACAAAAAAAGACACTGTGGGATAAAGTCACAAACTGACAAGGATGTGTTCATGTGCATCTAACCATTGCGCTGCGTGCCAGAATCACTTTCTTGTCTCCCCCCGTGACTGTGGCTGCAGTGTGCATCAATAAGTGACCCAGTAATTAATGACCACTTGCCAGATGCAAAAAGCTTAACTTTCCCATCATGGTGTTACAGTTTCAAACTATGCACCAGTGACACTATTTTTGAGATACAACTGGATTTTTTCAGGAATCATAAAACTTCTAAATAATACAGCCGTTTGAGTGAAAAAGATGGTCTGTTTCCAAGATTTAGTAATTCGGATGTTACCCAAAGGGGTGTAATATGATTTTCCAGATAGGGAAGACTGTAACCTCTCATCCAGATGATCATTTTCCATTTGAGATCCTGATTCTCATGTAAGAAATTAGCTTCAGCCACAGAGAGATCTGGTGATTCAAACATTGTTTACCATTAGTTAAATTTTCCTAAAGCTGTTGAACGTGTAACAGAAGAGATGCTATTAAATTAGGACAAGGCTTTCTTTTTTCTTCTTCTCCTTTTAAACAATACATCTGGAGTTACCAGGAGACACCGCGAGACCCTGATCCTTACAGCTTTGAAATAAAACAATAAATTGTGAACACTTATCTGTGCCAGTCACTGTATTAGTCATTTGTATCATTTCATCCTCACCTTACCCCCATACTGTTTCCATTACAAGGACTTCTATTCCACAGATGAGGAAGGCTCTAGGATTAATGGTGGGGCTGTGTCCAGACCATTAATGTCAGTATGATTCTCAGACAGATCTCTACACCACCCCAGTACAGGGTTACTCTTTCTGGATCCAACTCCCTCCCGACAGATGATTCACTATTTTCTGAATAATTTTAAATGCCTCTGCTGTTTTAGTTAGAAACACACCTTTATATATACAGCTCTGTAATCAAGTAACATGCATTGCGTGGAAAACATTTTTGAGGTAAGACATTAGCAACACCTCTTTTCACACTGTGCCACTGAAGTGCATTTTAATAATCTCAGTTTAAATTCATTTTGAGAAAAAGCCTTGGGCAAATAAACTCTCCACTAACATTGTACATGGTTGTCAAGTCAACTGAGAAAATATTTTTATCTTATAAAACTTCTCAACTTATTTAAAAGTCCCTGCCAGGAAGTTTTGTGATATCCTGCGGAAAGCTGGAGAACCATTTGGATTTTGAAGATGGACCCCTTTGATGTTTAAAGAGTCAGAGAATACTTATGAATTCACTCACATTTCTTGGATAATTTGGGAAGGATCTGATCTGTAAATAGTAATATTTTAAAAGAGGAGACTTTCTTAGCTGACTACATTAGTACATGACATAATGTTTCCCACTAAACTCATAGATTGTGTGAAAAACTTATTAAAAGAAAGAAAAACTATCACAGTGTCTAAGTGGAAGTGGATTGCATTTCCACAGAATGACAGTTCATTTCATATATTTCAGTGAGTATTTCTAATTTGATGTAAATCACTCCTGTGTATTCTTGTCAAAAGATATCACTAATTATAAAATATTTTTATGATTTGTATTTCTTTTATATTTAAACCATTTTAATGTACATAATTTAACTTATTTTAATAGGTACAAAAACAAAATGTGTATTTCTGTTAGTGTGTCAAAAGGCTACAAGAAGCAAGTCAGTAACAAAGTAAAAAATGATAGATTATAAAAAAAGGTGCTGAGAATGATTTATTTTTACTGTACTGTGCGATATATACCATACTTGTCTGGCAGTAGCATACACACTTGCTAAGAATTTCTTATGGAGAAGACTTAGGTTTGGCTTTCTAAATATTTATCATCTACTGAGCTGAGAACATGGCACAGCCTCATGCAGCAAGATGAGGCCTGAATCCTGTGAGCTGTGTCCCTTACAGCCCCCTAGCTCATCCCTTCCATTCCACCCCCACTGCTGTCAGGCCACACAGGTGCCGGCTGTCACCCCTGCAAGGTTGTCACAAAGTCTGTCTGCCTGAACTCCTGGCCATCAGCTTACCTCATTTTAGTGATGGACAGTTTCTTATAAATCTGTTAACATGAGAAGGGTAGTTTTCTATAAAAAAATCTTTAAATTTTTCTTGGAAGTAGAAATGCTAAAAATGAGAATCAGAACATTCACACTAGGATCACAGAGCACGCTGCTGGTAAGAATTCATGAGCCTCATTCCCACTGACTGAAGAGGGACCATGTATGGATAAGACCTAAGAAAACACCCTATCTAGATGACTATTATTTACTGAAAATTCTGAGAATCAGCCAACTATAGATAAAATCTACTCTTTATCTCATTATTCAAATCATCTGAAACTGAGGCCCATCTAATTTTGTCTGGAACAGTTAATTCTGACCTAAACTTTTGTATAGATCATTTCCACCAAAATGCTTTTCCCCATTAATTGGAATTTACAAGTCCAACTCAAACTTGAAGCCACTCTTCCTCTATAAAAAAAATTAGGAAAATTTTATCATGTTTCTGATGACACTTAACTTTTGTACCCTTAAAATACTCAGTATATAGAATATAATAAGTTGTTTTATATTTCTATTGAATTTTAAGTAGTATCTATCAATTATCAGTACCCACAACATAAGCATCCAGCAAGCAAAGTTGCCATTTAAATATCTTCTAACTATTCAATTCATTGTTTTAATAAATGAATTATCTACTAATTTATCAATTGACATAGAATTATAGAAATAGTTAAATAACCCAAAATAGAAGAAAAGTAGAAAATAACTTGGTCTCTTGTCATCTTAAAAAAACTATAAGCCTAAAAAGTTCATAGATGACTTGT